CAAATTCAGTCACTCTACCTGGGTCCTATAACTCAGAATTGTTGGGAATCATCGAAGAAGCTGTCGGCAAGGTCCCAGTGTCTATTTTTTACACAACTTGCCACAGCCATGCAGCCCACCGCGACACGAGCAGCTTACCACCAGGCTCATCTATAGTAACATTGTCTGAAGATGCTGCTATTAACGATGATGTTGAAAGATGGATTGGATCGTTATCATCTCTCAATGTGAATGCTGCTTCCATACTGCAGTTGCTTCTAGTATATCTTACGGAAGGAGTTCTTAATCATTACTCACCAAAGTTAGAGGTCGTTGGGGTAGGCATCATACAGATTGAAGATATCCTTCATCAATATGTAGCCTCTGCGGTTCCTCGTAGTGCTATACGTTATGTAAGGGACCTGACTATAGACAGAAAGGCAACTAAAGCGATAGCGGCAAAGATATCTGCATCTTCTATGGCTTGGGATATTGACGCAGTGGATTACGGAAGGGCTCTGGCATTGGTTCTTTGGTCTTTTATCCCGAGATCATAGTACTCGTTAAGATAAGAATTTAAGTAGCACTAGTTAGCATCTGAATTCGCATATCCGCTATTTACGCTAATGCGCAGGAAATTATAGTAAATCGTATTACATATTTAGCATATAACTAGCACACATGCTAAGTTCCATTCTTTGCCAGAACTATTTACCCTTCCATCTTCCTAGTTACTTAGTCTCCAGCTTAAACACTTGATCAGACTCTTACTATACCCGCTACTTTGTTAGCATGAAGTTCATGTTCTCTTTGATGTAGCCCGTTCTTGGATAAGTTCGTCCAATTGTTGCTGCATAATATGGATTTTCCTTGTAAAAGGGCTGCAACTCTCGCTTTCTCTGCCTCGCTTCTTCCCTCTTTGATGTCTTTGCTCTTGTGTCCGCCGAGGCAAGGCTTCTTCTAATGTATCTACATCACTTCCCTCAGGTGTCGCGCATTCTGGCGTCCTTGTAGTGACGTTGTCTGGGCAATAGCCAACTCAGGACGTACTACTTGAGGCATATTGTGCAGGTGCTAGACTGTGATCTAAAACATCCTCTTCTCTAGTCAACGTAAACTCGTGCCACATATGACTATTCGCGAGGTATCGGTCAATAAGATCGGGCTGAAGTTTTGCAGGAAAGCCATGCTCAAGCGCGTATGCACTTGCATGCGTGACGGGTCAGTGACCTGTCTGAAAAGCAAGAAGCTGGAGAAAGCCGTTATAATCTTTTGGTGTGCTAGGGTCGAATGGTGTAACAAGGCCTGGGAGATGTTTCTTAGCGATGCTTACTGCGGTTTGCCTATACAAACTGGTATTCATAGGAACAGAACACCCAGCTGTTACATTTCTTAGGCTCGAGTGGGCCTGTTCTGATGAGAAGCATGAGGTCGCGCTTTCGTGTGTGCTGAATAAGTGAGGGTTTGTTGAGTTGTTGGACAAGACGCCTAGATTTCGGCTAATAAGGCTGCGGAACGGGCGGATATACACGAGATACACGTAAAGGATCCTCTGTACTATGGGGCAGGGAGACCGCACGATATAAAAGGAATTATTGGTGTTGGTGTTTGCTTTGTTGTACGAAAAAACAAGAATCACCTTTCCTTTGTAGACGAAGATATTTCGCCGCACAGAAACTGTGTCAGCCTAGCGTAACACCCTAAACTCTTCTCCGCGTGCTAGCATGCCGTTCGTCATGTGCATTGCCGCATAGAGTAGACGAATAAACTGGTCGCTTTTTTAAAGGTACTGTTTTAGTTTGGCTCTCCCTCTTCGTGTCTCTAATAAAAACCCGCCTTGCTCTAAGAATGCAAGTCTGCTTATAGCCTGAAAAGATCCTTAGAGTTTATTGGCTAGGTGTGTTAAAAACGAAAACCCTAGGCGGTGAGTCGCAAGATCATCTTGCACGGCATTAAGTTGGACATCTAGCCACCAATGAAAAAGGAGGTCTTAGGTAAGATTTTGCAATCCTACTACGACGCTATAGATCGTTTCGCGGAATTGCCGCATATGAACCTAGGTGTCTGCGATATATAGCGTTAAGCCATCTAGCGACCATGATATGTTTGTTCGGGGGCCCTCGCGCCTAGCAATCGCTCGTCCATGCTAAAGCCGTTCAATGAGGTATCCAGCCAGCGCAAGGCTTCCTCGCTGAAGATATTTAGATCGGATATGCTCACGCAATCGCTGTGCTTGGTCAGGATAGACAGTGCGCTCAGGCCAAGGGGCTTTGAGATGGTTGTATGGTGCAAGCGGTAGTGCGTACTCGAGTATGATTAGACGCCCTACCCATAGGAGTGCTGATATAAATGGCGTATAATCATAGGGTTTACGGAAACATAGCTCTGTAGGATGAATTCCTAGAGCGCCAG